GGGTCCTTCCTTACTGTGCTGCGCCTTGCACAACAACAACACACAGTTTCATGCTCTGCTGCCCCTGCTGGCTGAAGGTGCCCACTACACTAATGTTATTGCCATTAAAACAGTAATGGCAACACTCTGAACCCCAGAAAGGCTGGCAATCTGCTTTGCTCTTTCATCCAAGAAAGATCCACTTTGTTTTCAGGGAACAGCACTTTCTGTAATGCAAAGTGACATAAAGCAAAGTATGTGCTTATGTTTGCTGTAGTAATTTCTTTTAATCATTCTTCATTATTGTCTCCTCTCTTCCCCCGTTTCATTATTTCTTCATCTCTCTCTCATTACCTTCCTCTCTGCCTTTGTGTTGCCTCTGAGAGCGTTGCAGAGGAGATGCCAGTTTATGGCGCTCCTGTGTGTGAACAATTTCACAGAATTAACAATTGAAGTGTTTTGCAACCGTTGCAATAAAATGTGATTGTTAAAAGCAAATTAACACTCAGTGTCTCCCTCTACCTTTCACCGCCCCTACATTTTCCCTGCTGTCTCTCTCTTGGTCCATTTCATTTTGCCTCTATCACTTTTTGCTCCTCCCTTTGTCATGCTTTCACACTGTGGCACCTTTTTGTTACAGTGATAAGATGTTTGGACTTTGTGAAAGGAGCCAGATCGGTTAATTCACCACATCTGGCCTCATAAAGTTATTGCAATAAAGTCTCTTCCTGTTTAAATATGCAATGAACGCACTGCCACCCCTCTGCCTCCTCCCTTCTCTGCCTGACGGATGACAGTTCCTATTATCTCCTGGATAATAAGTTGCACAGATTAGCCATGGGGGCAGACAGAGGAGAAGGGATATATCACCTGTGTGTGTTTGTTTGTGTGTGTGTGTGTGTGTGTGTGTGTGTGTGTGCCTTTGTGTGTTTGTCAGTGTGTGTCTTCTGTTTAGGTGAGTGTGTGTGTGTGTGGTTATTAATATTTGCCTGTTTATGTTTGTGTGTCTGTTTGCCTGTGTGTGCTTCTCTTTGTCTATATGCATGGATTTCCATCCAGCTGTGTGTGTGTGAGTATGTCTGTCTGGATGTCTGTATAGCTGCATAAAAACATGTGTCTTTGTATGTTTTTGCGTGCACTGGAACACACTAGAGGAGGAGTTGATGGGCTAAGTGCCATTACCAGATAATTACGGCTAAAAGTCTCTATGCTAACGAGAATGGCTCATCATCATGGTGCTGGCAGACAGGGAGGCCACAAAAAAACATCTGCAATTCAGATTAGCAGCACTTGTGTGTATATGTGTGTGTGTGTGTGTGTGTGTGTGTGTGTGTGTGTGTGTGTGTGTGTGTGTGTGTGTGACAGTATGTGCATCCTGCTGCTCTGTTCCCTCTTCCTCTATACGTGCATGTGTGTGTGTGTTTAGCACTTGTATGATGAGGGGATTACTGTTATTCATATTTTAAATAAGAAGCTAGCCTCTTAGTGTGTGTTTGCATGTGTGCGGGTTTAGATCACACAAGTATGAACACTGTATATCAGCGTAATTGGCTGGCATAGGAGCCCAGTGTGAGTTGAGTTCGAGGGCATCCATACACCACATAAAGTGGATGCCTGTAATGGGCTCACTCCTCACTCCCTGTGATGGGCTTATTCCCTTCATAAATGGTTTCTGCACACAGAGGCAGCCAGCAACAGGACCATCAACACATATAAGTTGCAATTACCCCAAAACAGCAAAACAAATGTGGCTAACCTTTTGTGCTGCAGATGTTGTTTTTGCATATATGTGAGAAATAGATTTAATTAAATGTTCTACCTGCTGGGACAGGTGAGGGCGATCGGACCCAGAAGTACCACAAATCTGATTTGCAACCAGCCTGTTAAGCCTTCGATTTGCAATCCCCTGGCTTCTAAACAGGAGTTGAGGAGAGAACAACATCATTTTTACTCGTTATACTCTCTTTTACAATGTGTGCGTAGGGGAAATACAAAATGGCCTCAGTATTGTGTGTGTTGTGCATCCACATGTTTATGCATGTAACACTAGTGTGTATTGTGTGTTTATGTAATTACTGCAGCCAGAACAACTCAAAAACACATCATCCACTTCAGTTAAGAGCAAATCACTCTTCTCCTCTCAGTTTGTGATTAACGACCATCTGTTTCCTGTGAAACAAATGATTTTCAGTCTGCTTTTATCAATCAAATCATTCCAATAAGGTTTTTGGTATCGTTGTAAAATATTTTAAATCTGGGTAGTGTGTTTTCAAATAAAAGTAACAGCAATATACTGTATGTAACCTATATAAAAACTCCATAGACATGCTGTTATTTTTAAGTTACCCCGGTATAGCTGGTACAGTTCAGCTCTATTGGGACACTTAGTGTTTTATACCAAGTGTCTTACAGCTGCATCTGTTTTGTTCATACTTTGGTATGAATGAAAAGCGATTATAAAAGAATCAGTCAGAATTTAAAACTTTATAAGATTTCATCAAGCAGAAATGACCCATGATACTAAACTGCAGTCTATAGACATTCATTTGTTCTTCTTATTTGCTGGCATTTTTCATGAGTTAGTAAAGTTTTCTATTTCTCTCTAACGTCTTGATCTTCATTTCCTTTCATAGCTGCAGAGCACAAAGCTACTGTCTTAATTAATAGAAACTGTGCAATGCTCTGTATTTTTTTTAAATGTTGATTGATATTCATGTAACAGTTTACTTTTTATAAATAATGTGACTTTAAAATCTGACAAATCTTTGACAGTCACTGAGAAAATCACAGAGCAAACGTACAGCTCTAGTTAATAAGATAAAAATCAGTCAAATCTGAGTCCTCAATGTGCTCCGGCAACGGCAAGAACAAAAGAAATACTTGAGAAAGAAGAATACAAAGTCTATGGATGGTGGGTGTTTCCAAGCAGGCGTAGTCCCGGAGGAAATCAAGCAGTTAACATGGTGATCAAGGTTATCTAATGATAGGTACTCCTAATTGTCCATTATACTGGCTACTGCAGCTGAAAGTGGAGAGCTCAGTGCTTTCCAGAGGACTGATGTTGAAGCAGAGTTCATACTGTATCGTCAGAAACAATTGTCATTTGTGACATCAAGATTATTGACTGATTACCATTCAGAAATAAAGACAGTGCTGCCTTTGTACATCTACTATTTCCAGTTGTTACGCTGCTGCACCTTCAACTCATTTGGTGTGACCGATGGATAAAAAGCTCTCTAGGTATCAAACCTCCAATAAGAGTGGTGGTAGAATGTAACTTATTACATTTAGTCGTCACTCCAACAAAGTTGCTTTTTTGTGTAGCTTACTTATACTATTTATTTGAGTACTGTTGTACCTCGTTAAAAAGGTTACATCTACCTGATTAGTTGCACCACTTGGCCAGCATGCTTAGTCTCCCAAATCAAACACACCCAAGATGCTGTGAAGAGGTGCATGCTGGGTGTGGCTCAAAGCTAAATGCTAACATGTTCCTGATGGATTCTCCAGCCATGATTTCAGCATTCACTGACGAACTTTTACTTTTGCTTTTCAACTAATGTTGTGACTTCAGAGCCTCTTTCAGCTCCAAATGATTTGGATTTGAAGAGCAGCTTACAGAGAGGCCAGGAGGACTAGTTATATTGGGACAGAGAGGCCAGGA